GAGCGGCCCGGGCGGGGTTTCCCGGCTCGGGGGTGCGGACCGCGGGACCGCGCGAAGCCCCGAGAGCCGCCCGCCGCGGCTGCGTGGAGGTCCCCTCCGCTGATGGTCTCTAATCCCAGCCCTGTAGGCCTTTGCTTCCAGAATTGTTTGTCTTGGGTTAAAAAAATGTACTTCGGAACCTCCAGTATAGAACAGTCCGTAGTCGATTTCTGCAGTAGGAGGAGGTTAATGTACTTTTCTTTTTTTGTTTTTTTTTGAGACAGGGTCTCACTGCGTAGCTCAGGCTGGTCTTGAGCTCACTCACTACGCAGCCCAGGTTGGCTTCAGAATTCGTGGCGATCCTCCTGCCTCAGCCTCCCAAGTGCTGAGATTATAGGCACATGCCACCGAGTCCTGGAATGTACACCATGTCAAGTGGTCTTGCTAATGTTTTAGGATTTGAGGATATACGTCCATAGACTTGGTCCTCCAGAGTCATGGGAAACATTTGTTTCTGTGCCATACTAAATCGTGCACAATTTCAGTGTCTCACAAAGTAGTGGCTGTATTTATTGTTTACTTGTGACATTTTTTGATTTAAAGATAATATAGCAAAGGTCTGGAGAGTTCTTTGTGGATAGACAGGATTTTGTTGTAGTGGCTTTCTTAGAATTTATGATAAGCTTGGCGGTAAGAACAAATGGAAATTAGTAACATGAAGGTTTGAAATATGCACAGATTACAGTATTTAACATGAACACTATTGTGGGGGTGCAGAGCATGTGTGATTCTTTACTCTCATATGGTCTGATTTCTAGACTGTGGACAAATAGCCGTAGTATGGAATCAGCATCTACTGTGGTTAACTTGGATGAAGTTGCCCGTATTTGAAATTCAGTCCTTTTTTGCGGGGAGGTGGGTCTTTTTGAGACCGCTGTGCAGTTTAGGGTGGCCTTGAGCTGACTTTGTAGCCCAGGCTGGTCTCGAACTCGCAGTGGTCTTCCTGCCTCAGCCTGCCGAGTGTTGGGATTACAGGCGTGCGCCACCAGGCCCGGTTTGAAATTCAGTCATTTTTTACCCACACAAATAGCAGTTTTCATATAGTGACGTTCAGTACTTTGTCAGAGAAAATTGGAGCTGTAGCTTCTTGAGTGAATGAAGACATAATAAAACTGGATGGAGAGATGGAGCAGGCTTCCTGCTTGCCAGTGCCGAGCTAAGGTTTTGTGGAATGGTAGGTTGAGCTGCTGCCTGGTAGATTGCATTGGAGTTAAATGTGATTGCAGGCGAGAACAAGGCCCTGCCTTCAGAGGGACTACGTGTATACACTAATTTGAGGGCAGTGTAAGAGGCTGAATAATGAGATACCAAAATGTGTAACACAAGAATGTTCCATGGGAGGAAGGAATCAGAGTTGTGATAAAGTATCCTTTTGTGCTGTTGGCTGTGGTAGGTGGTCTCAGTAGTAGGTTGGATTAATAGAATTTTGAAGATTCCAGTGAATTTAAAGTATCTATCCTTTAAGAAAAAATTCTGAAGTGTTTGTGGCATATTTTATTCTAAATAAGCCAGGCATGTGTTGCTTTATTCCCTTGTTTTTTGTTTAGCAAAAGTTACTCTTATTGCAGCATGGGGTGTCTATCAGTGCTGTCTATTGCGTTTGTAGGAGCTGTCCTGCTGTCAGTGCCACTTGCAGCTGCTGAGGAAGGTAGAAGGATTGCATGGCATGCAGCTTTGCATAATCATGGGGAAAGAGGGAGGATGCATGGCCAACGAGTTATTTTTTTATAATGATGGTTACTTTTACACACCTTTCTACAGCTGCTCAGTTATTTCCAAATAGGTGGAGTTCTCAGTGTTAGCATGGTTTGCAGGATTGTGTGTGATTTTCTTTTTTCTCCTAGAATGTTGAAAAGATACCTTTATACCTAGGAAAAAACGTTGCAGAATTTACAATGCTACCAGGAATCTCTTTGAGAAAAAACAAAATATGCCTAATGTGTAATTATCGGTTGCACAAAACCTTTTTTTTCCTTCTGTTTTGTTTTTTGAGACAGGGTCTGGCTGTGTAGTTTAGACTAGCCTTGAACTCACTATGTAGCCCTGGCAGCTGATCTGGAACTCATGGAGATCCTCCTGGCTCAGCCTGTGAGTGCTAGGATTACAGGTGTTCGCCACCATGCCCAGCCACACAAAACCAATATGTAATCAAACTGGGATTCCTTCCTGGGAGCAATTCAAATTTTAACACAACTGAATTAATTTAATAGTGATAAATAATGTTGACTCATTTGGGAAGAATCTAAGTTGAAGAAGGGGTTTTTGGTGGTGGGAAGTTAGAAATTTGAAACTAGAAGTTAGAAATAATTTTGAAACTTAGTTTTGAAACTACTTACTTTCTGGAACATTGGTGCAGGTGATCCTTTAGACAAGTTTGTAGAATTTTTGTTATTTTAAATGTAAGAAAGAAGTTAAGCAGTAGAAATCACAAACATTTAGTGTCTAATGAAGCTTTTAGTTATAATTAAGTGGATCAAATCTAAGGTATGTTCAGAGCTTTCCAATACTTTAAATCCAAGTCTCTACTAATTAAATTTAACATTTTGTTTCCAATTTGTTGAACAATGCTAAATATATGAGTGCAAGACGTTGGAAGGTAAATTGATAAATCAGATTCAGGATGGAAATTGAAAAAACATTAGTATATATAAACAGGTGCATACCACATTTATACACCTTTGTGACTTTTAAAATTATGAGCTACAGTAAGAAATGTAGGTATGTTGGAAGCCACTGTAGTGGTACACGCCTGTAATTCCAAAACTTGGGAGGCTGAGGCAAGAGGATTGCTGTGAGTTTGAGGATAGTGTGGATACATAGTGACAGGACCCTCTCTCAAAAAACCAAAACAAATTAAAAATAAAATAAAATACAGTTCTGTGAACTTTCAAGAAATATCTTCCTTTTCCATGTGTCTCATCAAAGTTATTTTAAAAAGATCGTTCTTAGAAAGAAAACTAGTTTTCTGATCTGATCAATCCAGTGCAGGGTTGAGACTCCCAGTCCAAAAGTCAGTGATTGGTGGGTGGCATGGCGTGGTTGAAATGTAGAGACCCTGGAGTGATGCAGTGAGAGAAGGTGTCCCAAAAGCTCCTTTTTATTTCCCAACCATTTAGATGGATGCTGCGTTTTTTACTTAGTTATTCCTGAACTTTCTGTCTTAAATAGATGAGTCACAATTTTAGTGAGTGTAAAGTTTGTCTGAATTTGTTTGAATGTTTGAGTAACAGGCATTAATTGGTGTTTATGGATCATTAATATGCTTTATCATAGGCATTAATTTTAGTGTACTTTTAAGACTTAAAGTTTTTTGTAACACCATTGGCTATGTAAGATTTTTTTGTCAGAATCAGAATAGCCAAATTATTATTTAGTCAGCAAACATGGGGACATGTAATTATGGTAGTCATTAGATCAAAATTCTTTTCCATGTTCTATAGGGAATCTTTGAATGTTACAGACATACACTTCACCCAGCTTTTCTTTTCTAGTGCTTAGTTTTGGTTAGTTGTAAAAGTTGATGCGCATCTCTCATCCAGTGCTTTTCTGTTGGTCTTCCACCCCTATTGTTGATAATTTTAGAAGCAAAGTAACTATCACAGCAAGATTCTGGCCCCTTTCGATACTGTAGAAACATGTGTTAGAATGGGAAGGACTTTTTTTTTTTTTTTGGTCTTTTTGAGACAGGATCCCGCTATGCAGTTCAGGCTGGCCTTGAGCTCACTTTGTTGCCCAGGTTGGTCTCGAACTCTCAATGATCCTTCTGATCCTCCTGCCTCAGCCTGTGGAGTGCGAGTTACAGGCATGCTGCACCACTGCCAGCTAGGAAGGACTTTTCTCTGGTGACAGCAACATTAGGAAGGTTGATAAGCCTCATTTTGCAAGTGACTATTCAATATGTTTAATAGAATGAAATAGTAAAGTGGGTTCCTGCCCTCGAGGAGCTAATAAATTCCCATGATATACAGGGCACTTAGCAAGTCTATTCTCTGGTATTTACTTTTTGGTAACCAGAATGAGGATGGTGAAGAAGGTGTTTATGTCAAGTTGTTGGGAAATCTGAGTGCTTTTTTCTCACTTTTTGTTTTCAGATTTATTTCCCTCTTTGGCCCAGATATCAAAAGGGGTGAGGTATTTATTTGGTTTATCACAAATACTTGAATTCGTAAGTTTTAAAGAAACGTGAGTAGTAAAGTATTTAAGTGTTTAAGGAAGTAATGACAAAGTTTTTTTAATGTACTTTCATAATTATTTCCCCAAATCATAAAGAATACTGTCAGTTGGTC